TGTTGTGTAATGTAGAGTAGTCCATCATTAAATAAAAATAGAATTTTATTTGTTGTACATATTTAAATCTTAGTTATTTGTAGTTTTTTTTGTATGATTAAATCTAAGTTATGGTGATTGATATTGTTTATGCCCAGTACCCCCCTTCACACGCACCACGCTCCGAGCCCCCTTGTCCACTTGCTCAGCCGCCTCCCTGCACCCACACAAGCGCCTAGCGGACCGAATTGGCCCGTTATCACTCCGACGCTCAAGTAAGAACCTACTTTTTAGAGAGAGAAGTGAAGGAACAGTTCTAGTAAGAGAAGCAAAATTGAGTAAATGAGGTTTACCTACTCGACTATTTATACCCGGGGCGAGATCGACCGGTACACGTCGTTCTCGCCCTGTGTCAGACCCGCCATAAATGCGCCGTACACCCCTAGATCATGCGCCTCGACCATCTGACGCTTCGGTCAGAGGTTGAAGGCGCATGACATCACCTGATCAGCTTTTCGTACACTTCCGACCGTTGGCTGCCTTTGTCTCATATGTCCCTCGCCAGGTGCCCGGTCCCACCTGTCTCACACACCTACTCAGCCACCCAGGCCCAGGTCCGGGCGCCCTTCAGCCCAATGTTCCTGCTCCCATGGGCTTTCTAAGTCTTCTTGGTTGGGCCCGCGCCTCCGGTCCATAACAACTTATCTTGGGCTTCTCCCTTCTGGGCCGGCCCATGTTCACTCCCCCAACAGATATACATGTTTTGTTGTAATTAATAGCATCAAATATGTTTTATCATATTGGTTGAACACTTAAAATGATGATAGTTTCAGTTCATAGGTTCAAATCTTGATCATGATAGTTCATTTACATGTTTATTTAGTTTTATTTTGATGTAATTAATAACTTAAAATGTTAAATGATAAAAAATGATATGAAAAATTGTAGAGCTTTCTTTATCCTACGTGGCAAAAACATTCTCCACAATGGCCATAATATCTACACATAATATAATACACCGAAGGGAAAAACGGGAGCCCCATTTCAAATTTCCTACAATGAGAGTGAAAGTAGAAAGGACATTTTGGTCTTCACAATTACTTTTTTTTATTCATTAAAAAGATACATACTGGGATTCGAACCATAACCATTTTAAAGAAAGGCAAAGATCATAACCAATCACACTAAATACATTTGTTGTATCTTTTTAAATTAAAAACATATAATAGCAGGGTGGGAAAAACTCTTCCCCTATTTCAAATTTCCTATTCCAGGAGCGTTTGTAGGAATGGTGGAATAGAGAATGTCAATTTTTTTCTCTTTCCTCTGTGGAACGGGTCAACTTACCGTACACATGCGGATTTAAACGGGTCCAGGAGTGTCAATTTTTTCCTTTATACTCTTTTATTTCTCCGTGGTGATAAAATATATATGAAAAGGCAAAAATAATACTCCTTTTTATTATTAAAAATAAAAAATTTAACAATAAACTAATGCATGGTATCTAATGGGCTAACCGCTAACCATAAAACAAAAGAGTTGAATGAGCCTGACCTACATGGGATTTGGTCATCAAGTAAAACAAATGAACATCATTGGTTTGCCATTCTAAAACAAGCTATTTTCTCTGACATAATATATATATGCTATTATTTTATATCTTAGTGGCTAAAATATAATATATTTTAAAGTTATTCAATGGTTCAACCTCGACCAACCCAATTAGTCCAATTTTTATCATTTCAAATATATATTTTATAATTATTTGACATCATAATGATCAAATTATAGTGTATTTTATAGGGAATCGTTTGGTATTTGTTAGTAAAAAACTAAACATAAAGATCTATTTGGTTATTTTAAACATTAAAACGATCCTAAACATTTTCAGTTCCTTTTGAATTTATATGGTTTTATTCCCAAATAAGTGATGTGCAAATGGCGAATTGTAGTCGTCTCTTTTCTTTCACTATTTTTTATTTTCAAATAGAAAGTTTAAAAGTAAAGAATAATTAGAATTTGGCATGGGTCGGTCAAACAGGTTGAATTTCAAGTTTTGGCCTGTTTGTTTTATGCATTGCAAATTTATTAGCATGTTGATGGAAATGGCTTGGAAAAAAGACATATAAGCTGTACCTTTGCAGAAATGTCCTCAATTGTTTGAATGCTTTGTGAATCAGGTTCTGTGACTTTTGTGATGGTGTATGTGCTTGACGATTGCTCGATGTTGTAACTACTTAATTTGAGAGTAAATCTTTTGATTTTCCCTATGAGTTGTGATACCAGTTCTGGTGGTTGCAGCATGTTGTCGTTGTTGGCCTGTAAAAGTTGTTCCGTCGTGATGCTAAATACCTTTCTTTCTTTTTTAACAAATTGTGTAGTAGTTCTATGAAACAGACCACCCATGAACGCTACGCTTATTATGGTCTGTTCTTACTTCCGGTGGTGAGAAATTGTGAATTGAGAATCATATTCGCCTACCGCACTGTGTCTGGTTGGTGGCTGCTTACTATGCTCTCTAGAGTTATGAAACAGACTACCCATGAACGTTACCCTTAAGAGTCCATAACTTTGCGAAAAACCAAATTTAGGCAATCAAAGGTGGTGGATGTTTGATGATTTTTTATGGCTTAATTGTTTGTGAATTGGATATCTGATCTTTGTATGATTAGAGGGGATGTTTGCTTAATAGAATAATCCATTTTAATTCATATTTATTTTTAACATGAACTTTAGTAACTCAAAACCTTCGAGACACATATCACCTACTGCATTGTATCATTTTGCCTGGGTGCTTGCTGTGTTGTCAAACTTCTTTGCTGCTGCTGCATTTACACTAACAGGGGAGTTAAGAACCCATGAATATTTCCGTTTGACACAAACAAGAGGACTTACTTCTAAATCGTGCACTAAAGATGATTGGAGGAAACATCTCTGTTGCAGTTGATACACTGGAGACCAGAACAAAAGCAACGTATAACATCAAAACCAACCATCTGAACTATTAGCATTGTTGCTTTACTCTTTTTTCGTGGTTGAGTATCCTTCAAAAAATTTAGTTTGATTTTAGAAAATTTTGCTTCTGCAGTCCTGTCTTGCCACCAACGCGTTCAATAGATGGAGATGGCAGAGGCGAAGGCTATTTTTGTGTTGTTGTTGCTGGTTTAGGGATCGGTTTGTGAGAAGAGGGAGAAGAGAGGGGGAAAGGGAAATGCATGAGAGGGGGATAACTCTTTCTTACATAACTGTGTCTATTCTGTTTGAATTGAGCTTGGGAGGTAGTGATAAGGACGAGCTGCAACCAATTCATAGTGATAAGAGTGCTATGAACTGTGATCATGTATTATTTCAAGTTAGAAGGTAGTTTCAGTATAAGGATTATTTAATTTGACAAGTTGTTTCGTCCATGATTTTTGGTAGTTTCAGTGCCATTCTAGCCATTGTTTAGTCTGTAATTTTTGAGAATTGATGTGCGAGTAATGACTTTCACTTAGCTTCAACTATTATGCGTGTATTTATTGGCATGTGATAGAATTCTCTTTTCCTTTTCTTTGATATCAGTTTCATACTCTAATTGTATCATTTGTACATAGACAAATCATGCTCGAGATGACAACTCGCCGATATGGCTGGTGCAAGGAATGAAGCCATCATTAAAATTCAGACCGACAACGGGGAGGGATGCCTAGGACTAATTCAACGATGATTGATGATGGTATGATAAAAACTGCAGTCTGCATCAGCACCAATTTCTAGGACTAAGTAAAGTTATTCAACCCAGAACTCTGCTTAGCGCTAAAAATTGCCCTCACCCAACATTGATCCTGTTTGACCCACTTCTGAAGAGTCAAGATATATTACTAATTCTATCTGTTCGTATTTTCTTATTGACTCTTTCTGACCCTTTAGGTTGGGGCGGGTCGGGAAGAATCAGATTAGTGGGTCGGTCCTAATCAAGTGGAATCACAATCCCTTCACTCTCACTTGCTTTCTCTCCCATTCCACAAGTGGGTAACATACAGTAATCCGGCCAACGGGCCGGGTAATAAGCTAGTAAGTTAAGAAGCCTCTAGTTTATGGGGAATCTAATGGATTTATTGATGACAGAGGGAGAAGTTGGAAGATGATTGGGAATTTGGGAAGTCGGAAGATGATAGGGAATTTTGGGAAGTTGGAAGGTGATGGAGAATTTCAATTTTGGGAACTCGAAATTGCTAGCGTAGATGAAGCTGATTTTCATCGGAGGCAGAGGCAGCCCTTGCACGCACGCCACAATGGATATTAAGCGGGGAGGAGCATCACCAGTACCCATGCCCGCTCTGTTCAAGCTGCGGGGTGGGGCAAGATCTGCTCTGTCCTGTCACGGATCGAGTTTTATCTGCCCATCACAGGCCAGGTCGGGGAAAATCCGTCGGGTCGGGCCTAAACTGCCATCCCTAATACTATTGCAGACCATTTAATGGAACAATACAGGTTTATGGATAAAAAAAAATATTCCGAGACTTTCTAACTCAAAAATCTTATTGCGGATCGCAGTATGTGGTGCCCATATTTCTTATACAAGGTTGGTGTCACTGTCAATTCGACCAGCTTATTGACAACCGTGGTTGAATATAAGGATGTACATGGGTCGGGTGGTCTGGGTTTAGCCATTTTAATCACCCGACCCATGCACTACGGTTTGGAAAATATTAAACCCAAACCCACCCAAAAAATTTAAAACCATACGGTTTGTTTCTAATTGGGTTGGGTCGGGTTGACGATATTTTTAAGTAAAAACCCAACCCAACACAAAATATTTAATTATTCTACACCATAAAAATATTTTATAACTAATTAAAATTTCAAACGAATAAACCGAGGTGAAAGGTATAAAAGTTCACAAATGTTGTTTAAATTTTATTAAAATGTGATTTACATCAACATATATCTAGTTTTTTTTCATGACATTTGTTGAAATAGGATAAAAATGTTATTAACGAACGCATCCATAATATATAATTCTATTAAAATCGTACACAAGAAAAATGATTACGTGAATCATAGCTATATTAAATCTATGTCTAAACTTTAACCCGAAAAATGCATTAGATTAGTGAGACCATGAGAGAAAAATATGACGAAATATCTTAATTTTCTAATAAGTATGGTTATATACGACATAAATATTTTTTGGATACGAACTCATATCAATAGTTGGAACACGGGTTGGGTTGGGTTCTACGGGTTGTGTAATCCAAAACCCAAACCCAACCCAAAAGAGACGGGTTGTAGAAAAGAAAACCCTCACCCAACCAAAAACCTTAGTTTTAGCGATAAATACGAGTGGGTTGAGTCGGGTTGGACGGGTGGGTCGGTTTGCGGGTGTGTAAACCCTAGTTGAAAACGTATGATACGTTAGTGCTATTGATAATTCAGTCTGCTTTTGACCCAAATAAAATCCCAAGTCCCCCACCATAGTATTTGTAATGAATCACTTGCGCACTTCCCTTGGCCCTTGCAGACAAATTTGCTTACATATTCAAATCTCTCTTGTCGTGTCTTTCGTCTCTTTCAACCCAATGCGCTCAGTCGATTGCAAACCACCCGATAATTCCAACCTAACTTATAATCGAAAAGGCAGGGTGATCTCTATGTAAAACCTACACCACTGCTCTGTTATCTCCGCCAACCCAATTCTCATCACTCAGCGCCGATGGGGACGGAGGGTTATGCGACGGAGAACAATGAGCTCGATAAATGGGGTTTCAAGCCTAACAGAGATCTCACCGCTGCTTCTGAAATCACAGTACGTGGTGTTCTCACCACTCTATTGGGGAAGGTCGATAAGGATGACAAAAGATCTATAGTACCCCTCGGCCATGGCGACCCTTCTGCTTTCCCCTGCTTCAGAACCACCTTAGCTGCCGAAGATGCGGTGGTTGATTCCTTTAGATCGGCCAAGTTCAATTGCTATGCCCCTACTGTTGGTATTGTTCCAGCGAGGAGGTAACTCACTCAGAAAACCCACTTTCAGAACTTGTGTTATCCTTGCTTACTTTAGTGCTGGGATAAAAGGATGATCACTGTGTGTGTTGTCTTATTCTGATAGTTCCAGATGGGAAATAATCTTAGAATCGTATTGGGTTTCCATCGTTATCTCTTTCCAAAGCAATCACTCCTGTACATTGTATTTTCATGGTGGATTGAATTTGTTCATGCATCTCGCTCCAAACAGGGCTGTCGCAGAATACCTGAACCGTGATCTCCCATACAAGTTATCTGAAGATGATGTCTTTCTCACACTTGGATGCCTTCAAGCAATTGAAGTTGCATTAACAGTCCTCGCCCGACCTGGTGCAAACATTTTGTTCCCAAGGCCAGGTTTCCCTTACTACGAATCACGTGCTGCAGTGTGTGGCCTTGAAGTTCGTCACTTCGATCTAGTTCCCGAAAGAGGGTGGGAGGTGGATCTCGAAGCTGTTGAATCTCTGGCAGACAAGAATACTGTTGCAATGGTTGTTGTAAACCCTGGAAACCCATGTGGATGTGTCTACAGCTACGAACATCTAAAGATAGTGAGTCAAGCTACCCAATCTCCCATTCTTCTTTACTATTTGGGTTTAGGGTTTATAATACGAGAAATATTGGTTGAAATACCAGGTTGCAGAGACAGCTAAAAAGCTTGGAATACTGGTGATTGCTGATGAAGTATATGCACATCTCACGTTTGGTAGCAAGCAGTTTGTGCCAATGGGTGTGTTTGGATCAATTGTGCCTGTCTTGACACTTGGGTCAATCTCCAAGAGATGGATTGTTCCTGGCTGGCGACTTGGTTGGCTTGTGACTACTGATCCGAACGGAATCCTCCTCAAAACTGGGGTTGGTTTTTTTGCTCGATCGCTTGCTCTTGTCTACGGTGTAGCTGATTATAGGTTGTGTTTGTTTTAACACTTTTGATCTTCATTTTTGTGCAAGATGGTTGACACGATCAAGGGCTATCTGGATATCTCCTCAGATCCTCCAACTGTCATTCAGGTTTGATGTTCAAACTGTGAGCTCAGCTTTACTTTGGCAACCTTGTCCTAAGAGTTTTTTGTTTATTAGGGTGGAGTTCAACAACTAATCGAAAATACGAAGGAGGACTTCTTCTTGAAAATTAGAAGCTTGTTGAAAAAGGCAGCGGACACAGGTTATGACAGGCTTCAAGACATTCCTTGTGTTACCTGCCCAATGAAACCAGAGGGTTCCATGTTCGTTATGGTAAAGCTGAACTTGTCGAAACTGGACGACATTGAAGATGACGTCGACTTCTGCGTCAAGCTGGCTAGAGAGGAATCAGTGATAGTGCTGCCAGGTAAAACCACACTTGCTGACTTCTAGCACTTCTCGATCTCGTTACTTAGTTAGATGAGCTTCATCGTCACCTTTCTTTGATACAATGTGCAGGAATAGCTGTAGGTCTGAAGAACTGGCTTCGTGTTACTTTTGCAATTGAACCTTCTGCCCTTGAGGATGGCCTTGATAGGATGAAAGCCTTCTGTAAAAGACATGGCAAGAAGCAATAATTTACCGAGTAAAATTGGATCAACAGCTGGAAGTTGATCCTCATCCATTCCAATCATGAGCGCTCTGTGGGGAAGTTTTTAATTTTCATGTGTAGCAAGCAATAAGTTTGGATCCCAAACAATCGTCAACTGTTGTCGACTGGATCAACATTCAATGTTGATCCTTATGGTATGGACATGAGTTGTGTGATTTGATTTCTTCTTTCTGTTCTCTTAGTTGAGAACTGGAAGTAGTTGAAGAACATTCTACCCGTTTGTAATAAAGAAGAACAGAGATGATCAACTTCGCGTTGGCTCTCGATTGAAAACTCTGCTCTTGAAAGTTCCACAGATTGCACGTTCTTCACTTATCCATGAGAATTATTCCTGCAGTTTGACGGGTTCGGAGCTGCCTTTGTTCCCACGCCATGACACTCTTTAGATTTGAGATTGCTGAGTAAAACAGGTTAAGCTCAATTGCTACTCTACTACCAGGAATGAAAGAAGAGAAGAACGGAACGGCACTCTTTAGATTTGAGATTGCTGAGAAAAACAGGTTATACTCAATTGCTACTCTACTGCCAGAAATGATAGAAAAGAAGACATGTTCTCATGTCACTAAAAGATAACTCAATTGTTTGAACTCTACGAATATTCGAACCTGAAAGTGATATGTAGCATGTGGAAGTAAGCTAATTGAGCAACCCACCCGACCCATGAGTCCAATCACTTCAACCCGATTACTCATAATTCGATTGAGCCATAGTTTGACTTACATGTAACTCGATTGACCTAAGTAACTAGATTGCCCAAATGATCTATTATATATAGTACAAACTACATGAACATTAAAATATCATTAACTTAAAACCATTTAGAAAAGTTGGTCGTCTATAGAAGAATTACCCAAAAGGGTATGCCGACTTTCAACTTTCAAGTCATCGTGATTTGGAGAAAACAATTAATCGCTACCACAAAACGGTCAACAGGATGACACACTTACAACGGGACTCAACCATGACAAATGAAATGATCAACCACTTATATGTTGTGGTCGACCTGATGACGAAAATGTTAATGTTTAGATCATGGTAAAGGAAACCGTACCGGACATCATATCGGATTCCTTTCTGGTATGGTATTTTGTGGTACGACCGTGGTTCAACCGTTTTGTACCGGTAAATACCGTTTATGTAATAATAAAATATATTTTTGTCAAAAAACCGTGTCGGCAAAATCAGAGTACCGTTCCGGAGTAAAACCGGAATAATATCGAATATACCGAATATAAAATAATAAAGTATCAAAAAGAGGAACATACTGTAACAATCAACAAAGTGTAACATACTGAATAAACTACATTATCGTTCAAAAACCATTAGGATTACTGAATTAGCATAGTCGAATTAATTGGACTTTTCTAAAGCATGATTTAATTTCATGGTTTGGGAGTGGGAATCCAGTTAATTAAAAACTAATAATTATCTTTATTTTTATACGCAAATAGCTCTCCCACATCACTGCACCACTTATCTCTATCCATCTCTCTCTAAACAACGACCACCCATCTTCCTCTGTTTCCAATCGGTGGTTGACGATACACATCAACGTTTGTATATTTCTCCTCCCTTGTTCTTTTCTTGTTCTCTGCTTTCAATTCCCGAGTGAGAGAATCGATCGTGAAGAAGAAAAAGAAGGAGAATTGCATCAATCGATACAACTAGTCTCTCCCACGGTAGCTACTCCCTCAGATCCGCCCAAGAGAGAGATCAAAATTGGTTTCAACATTCAGCGGCTACGAGACTTCTCCTTTCTTCGGTAGGACGTCGTGGGTCGCCGGTCGTGGGTCGGAGCGGAGCAGGGACGACTCGACTCGCCGGTCGTGGGTCGCCAAATAAGAAGAGAAGAGGAACGGCGGAGGAGCGGAGCGGGGATCGGCTCGACCTTTCGCGGTCGCGGGTTGCTTCTTTCCTCTCGCCGATCGCGGGCCGCCAGTCACCAGAGGGAGTGGAGAAGAGGAGCGGCGGGGATGGGGAACACGGGAAGAAGGAAAATACATTTTGGATTAGGGTTTTGTGTTTTTGCGCTGTTGAATGCCGAATTTTTTTTTTAATTTTAGTGCTTAAAACGGGGACGTATTCTTTCAATAAGGCTACCGCCGGTTAAACCAAAACCGGGCGGTTTTTCTTTTTGTACCGGTCAAACCGAAAAAACTGGCCGGTACGGTAAAATCAGCACAATCAGCCTACCGTATCGCTTTTGGTCCAATTTCCGGTTAAACCGGTTGAACCGGCCGGTACGATCCGGTTTCCTAGCTATGGTTTAGATAGAAACTGGCCAACCGCACCATGGAGAGGTCGACCACTTAGGGTTAAGGATATATTTGTACCTCAAGCCAACGTCATAGAAAGTGCTCTAAACACAATGAACCCCGCGATTGCACCTGAAAGGTCGTCCCGACAACTGGCAAGGTGGACTTGTTGATCTACTTAGATTGCACCAACGACTACATTTGATATTATAATGTATTTTCTTCTTCACCAACCTTCATAGCCACAAGAATTTGTTTACACTATTTTTAGAGTGATAAACTAATAACATAGATGGTTATTTATAGAGGTTTATATTGCCATAACTCAGGTTATGTGGTATTAAAGTCTTTATTTTGTAATGAAACCCTTCTAGTACTGTTGGATCATGTTCCAACACTGATAAGTTAATGGCCAATCGATCGACCATTTGTGATTCCGGTCGATCATTAATTTCATTTGTACTGGTAGAATTGTGCCATCCGGTTAACTATTTTTCGCGAGCGATCAAGCGATTGTTCAAGTCACGGCAACTTAAAAGTCATCGCAGCTAAGTCCTAACTTTTTTGTTTGTGTACAACATGATGCTTAAAACGACGTCATAATCTTTATGCATTAAGAAGCCTAGGTGTTTCAACCCAAGCTGATCAAAATACAACCATTAACTAATGAAATTACTAGGTGAACCAAATATATGTTCTCCAGTCTTCTTATCTTATTTTAGCATATATATTGTTGAGCAACTTCTTGCCACGTAGGTCTTAGGAAGCTCCACAATTTTTCACTGACATATTTATCAGTTTGACCGTTCTTCCTAATTTCTAAGTTATACTAATCTAAAACTATAAAAAAGATATGCAATTGTCATTACTTAGTTTTGATTTTGAACCAGCGACCTATTCAACCCAATTATTACCATTTAAGACATTTAACCAATATATAAGTTCTATTTGATGTTATTAGCGACAACAATATCTTATACTAACATATATTATGGTGGTTATTGAGCAACTTCTCGTCAGGTAGGACTTAAAAAGCTCAACAAATTTCCACGACATATTTAGGAAGACATTTAACCAATGTATAAGTTAAAATGATAAATATGTCGTGTAAATTTGTGGAGCTTCCTAAGTCTTAAGTGACAAGAAGTTGCTCAACAACCACCATAATGTATGTTAAGAGAAGATATTGTTGTAATTAATAACATCAAATAAAACTTATCATATTGGTTAAATGTCTTAAAAGATCAAAATTCGGTTGAATAGGCCGCAATTTCAAAACTAAGTAATGACAATTGCATATATATATTTTTTAGTTTTAGCTTAGTATAACTTATAAATCTTTCCTTTTATACTAGCTTTGAGCCCGACTCATTGGCCGAAAAGTTATTTTTCATTAAAATAATATAGTTTGTACCTTACAATAATGTACGATAATGTTTAAACACACATTAAATAATGGTGTATTACTAATATGTAGTAGAAAATTAAACATCGGTATAGTTTAGTAACTAAGTAGAATAAGAAACTTGTCTCGTGAACTATGATGGCATAAGTAATTTGTGTATGGTGGTTGAATTGAATGATATTAATATAGTTTATTAACAGTGAAATACGAGTGCGACTCATGAATATATGAGCGTAGGGTTGGCATGTAGGTGGTTAATCCGCGGGTTGATACGATCCACCCGCAAATAACCCAAATCGCAAGCAGATGATGATTGATGTGGATGGATTACGAATTGATGAATTTCCTACCCCCACTTATGTGGGTGGGTGTGGTGGGTGGATTGCGGGTCACCCAAATGGCTGACACCCTATTTTCACATGAAAGAATGTCATTTCTTATACTATCGAGTATTTTTCATATTTCCGAACCGCACTACACACTGACCATCTACTTATAAAAATGGAGATATAAGATATTATGATGCTAATTATTAGTTAATATCCATTAGATATTGGGATGCAAACTATAAACTACTAATTGTATAAAAATCACAAAATGCGTAAATTTTCTCTACAACATTGATTGATAGATTAATGGAAATTTGGATGCAAATACTACATGGAATCACATGAGAAAAAGTGGGAAATGTCTAAATTGATATAATCTTACCAATTTGTTAGGAACTTATTATAAATGTTAGTCAACTTTCTTAATGGCTAGTTAGAGAATTGCTTTTGCGGGTTAACTCATGACCCAACCACATTCATCCGCCACCCACTCAACTCGATCCACAGAAGAATGTGGGTGGATAGCGGGTCAGATTTATACCAACTCACAAGTACGCTGGTGAGTTAATCTGAGACCAAAACCCACCCAACCTGCCCATTGCCCACCCCCTATATGAGTGTGACCAAGCTTTTTAAAGTTTGCTTTTAACATATATCAAAATAGATAACTTTTTGTTGATCACATGAAAACTTATTTATTGGCGCAAAAATAACTAAATTCTGAGTTGAAACGAAATAAATACAGGTCAATTAAGAATAGTAGGGGGATTGAAAAAGAAGAAATTAAATAAATTAAGAATGTGATAGGTGGCACATTCTAATTAGATTACTTAAACTTAAAAGAAAAAATTAAATAAAAATTAAATTATTATTTGAATTCTGATTGGTGGGAGAGGTGATGACATGGATTAATAGAAATGCTGAAAATTTGAATTGGTGAGGCCTTAAAGAAGAAAGAAAGTGTATATTATATTCTTTAGACTAGGGAATTAATCAAAATGGATAGTGATGCATTGATTAAGAGCTGTCTGCATATTTAATATTCTCCTAAGCGTTATTTCAATTTATGTGTTCCTAACTATCTATTTGTCAGATATTGCTTTGGCTTTACTTAAAATGGTGAGGGATACGGTGACAACCCCTTAAGGGGTTGTCAGATTCACAACCCATTTCATAGCCCATTGGATACGCTCTCTCTCCTGTCTCTTTTTTCTTTTTTTTAAATTAACGGCTAAGATTAAAGGAAGGGTATTAAGATATGGATTGATGAAGGCCAGGAGAACTTTCAAGTGGTTAAAAAAGGAGGTAAGGGTGGGAAAGGAAATAAACGTAAGAAATGAAGTTGCTTGCGTGGAATACAAGGGGGTTTGTAGCGAATAGTAAGTATTTAGATATATGTAGGAAATTAAATAAATATGATATTAGTATAGTTGCTATTCTTGAGCCGAGAATTAGAAGGAAAGAAGAAGAAAAGCTGATGAAAAAGAGGTTCAAGGATTGGCAGAGTAGGATTACTTATAACTCTGCTGATCTTGGGAAGATTTGGTTAGCTTGGAGGAAGGACGTCTCTCTTCGAATTTTGTACTCATCTGATCAGTTTTTCCATGTTCTGGTGAATGATTCTGTGCCTTTCTTTGCTACTTTTGTTTATGCCTCGAATGAGGAGAGGGAAAGAAGGAAGTTGTTTGAGGATTTGAGAAAGATTAGAGTTCAGGGAATTCCTTGGGTTATCTCTGGTGACTTTAATGTGGTTAGAAGTCCTGTTGAAGCCTCAAATAATCAACACTACAGCTCTAGTATGAAGGAGTTTGATAGCTGGATTTTGGAGCTGGAACTTGAAGATCATCAAGCTATAGGCCCTTGGTTTACTTGGCTAAATAAGCAGGATGCTCGTCCCATTGCAAAGAAGCTAGATAGAGTTTTAGTTAACTTTGAGTGGCTGGATAAAAAAAGAGAAAGCTCAGTTCACTTTCAGAAACCAGGGATTTCAGACCACTGCCCTAGTCTGGTGAACACGGAGGTAGTAAAGCAGTCGTTCCCAAAACCATTTAAGTTCTTTCAATTTTGGACTAGGCATCCAAAATTTGATCAGCTGTTGAAGGAAGCATGGGACAGCAGGGTGTCTGGTCCTCCAATGATTCGAGTTTATAAGAAGTTGAGAATATTAAAAAGGCTTTTGAAGGAATTAAATAGGGAGGAGTATTCTGAAATCATGGAAAGAGTCAAGGGTAAGGAGACTGAGCTTGAGGACATTCAGAGTGAGGCTCTTCAAAACCCTTCTAATGAGAACTTTGAACGGGAATCTGAAGTCTCAAGGGAGTTGCAAGAGTTGTTGCGTGCAGAGGAGTCATTTATGAGGCAAAAGTCAAGGGACCTATGGCTTAAAGGGGGGGGGGGGGACTCAAATACTCCTTATTTCCATAGATCTCTGAAAACTAAACAGAGAAGGAACACGATAACTATGCTGAAGGATGAGGAAGGCAATAAAGTAACGAATTTGTTTAGAATGGGGGATATAGCAGAGAGTTTTTATAGGCGTTTGCTAGGGAGGAAGGATCCAGAAGTGAGGGAAGAGTCGGATGAATTTTACACAAAGCTTATAAGGAAGAGAATTGTCAGTGATGAGGGGCTGTGTGCTCCTGTTTCAGCTGAGGAAATCAAGGCTGTTGTTTTTGGAATGAAAGGAGACAAAAGTCCAGGTCCAGATGGGTTCTCTGCGAGTTTTTTCCAACACGCTTGGGATGTAATTGGTCCAGAGGTAACTTTTGCTATTCAAACTTGTTTTAATGAGCATAGAATGCCTAGGGAAGTGAATGCTACCATCCTGACCTTGGTGCCTAAGATTCAGAACCCTGATGAAATGAGATTCTTTCGGCCAATTTCTTGCTGTAATACTATCTATAAGATTATTGCCAAGATAATAGCAAACAAACTTAGAGAACAGTTACCCCATTTGATTAGTTTAAACCAAACAGCTTTCATAAAAGGGCGTTCAATTGGGGATAATATCTTGCTTGCACATGAGCTTGTTCATAAGTATGCTCAGAAGAATGTTTCTCCCCGATGTGCTTTGAAAATAGACTTAATGAAGGCATTCGATTCTGTGGATTGGATGTTCATTTTTAAAGTGATGAAGCATATGGGATTCCCTGAACAGTTTATTGATTGGATTAGGATGTGTGTTAGCACTCCTATGCTTAGTGTGGGATTGAATGGCAGTTTGGTAGGGTATTTCTTTGCTTGCAAGGGATTTAAGCAAGGGTGTCCACTATCCCCTTACCTATTTGTCATTGCAATGGAAATCTTTTCCTGTCTGCTAGATAAGGAAGCTCAAAAGGGGTATTTTCCTTTCCATCCGATGTGTAAAAAGTTAGGCTTAACCCACCTATGCTTTGCTGATGATCTGTTTGTATTCTCGGATGGGTCAAATTATGGTTTTCAGAGGTTGAATGAGATTCTCACTCGGTTCAGGGTGCTCTCTGGATTGCAAGTGAATCCTAGTAAATGTGAACTATTTTTTGGGGGATTGCCGGGTCCTGA